CAGACATGCCCAACAGGCATTTCCTGTGCCCACTGAGAGCAGGGCCTCTCCCCTAAGTCTGCCCAGCTACGCTCTGGGCAGGAATGAGGAGCCCCACTTAGAGAAGACGCACAGGTCAGAAGAGGCTCACCAGCATTTCTGAGGCACACAGGGTGCTGGAACGACAGCCGGGCGCTGGGGTCCCCACCTTTCTTGCCAGCTGCCTTCTGAAGTCAGGCCCTGGGTATCCAGGACAGGAGGGAAGGGGCCCGGTGGTCCCGCTGCCCCAGAATCTGTGTCATTGAACCACCAGCCCATCCCCCGTAGCTGGAGCCTCTGCTCCCTCACTTGTGAACTACAATAAATCAGAGACAGGTCTCAATTTGGGAAGTTTATTTTGCCAGAATTAAGGATGCACGCCTGTGCCACAGCCTCAGGAGGTCCTGACAACATGTGCCCAAGGTGGTCAGAGCACAGCTTGGTTTCATACATTTTAGGAAGACATGAGACATCAATCAACATACGTAACATGGAGTTACACTCTTGAGTTTCTGATGAGCCTTTCCAAAGAAGGCAGTCAGGTATGCATCTGTCTCAGGGAGCAAGGGAATGACTTTGAATGGAACGGGAGGCAGGCTTGCGCTACGCAGTTCCCAGCTTGACTTTTCCCTTTAGCTTAGTGATTTTCGGGCCCCAAGATTTATTTTCCTTTCACTCTCCTAAAAAGAGTTTTTTTTTTTAGATTTATCGCAGAGTTGAACAAGAGAGAATGGCACAGGTGTGGTCAAGATTCACCTGGGAGAGGAAGGGGGCAGGGGCAGAGGAGTGTGGCCACCTGAGCTGAGAGGCTATGTGGCAGGTGACCATTGTCACCAGTGTCACTGGCCAGGTCACCTGTCTGAATTTTGGGGTTGCAACCTCCATGATCCCCTAGAGCTGATGACAAATGCAAGTGCCCAGGAGGAGAGAGAAGCCAGGACGGGGGTGGTGGCCTTGTCTCCCCAGGGTGAAGTCAGGCAGGGCTCGGGGGCACGCTTTGCACCAAGCCAGCCCGCCCAGCTTGTCTCTCACCCATGGCCACGAGAGAAAGCCCTGGGCTGAGGCCTCAGTCTGTGACACTCATGGTGATGGGCACAGGCTGGCCGCCTCTGCCCCACCCAGAAGTCCCCGAGCTCACTGGCAGCTGCAAGGCCTGGGGACGTTTAACCCACGTATAGGAACCAGCTGTTCTCTCGTTCTGTGGAAGCACCGATACCTTCCAGCAGCTTTGGGAGACACGTCTGGGGGGAGCCTGGGGACTGTGCTCATCAGGTCCCCTCGGTGGTCCCTCTGCTTGGAAGGGAGGGGCCTGTGGAGGAGGGAGGGAGTTTACCCCCAGCGCACTGGGTTCTCGATGAAGGACCCCCATGAAAAGCACCCTGAAAGGTTAGCTTGGGGTATGGGCTTGCTGGGCCCATTTGGGAGCTCTGTCTCTGGGGAGGGTCCAGGCTCTACTGGAAGCCGGCCCCAGGCTCAGGCCAGGGTCCAAGCAAAATGCAGCTTCACAGCCACGGAGGGGCTTCTGGGTCTGGTACCGTCTCCCCAAAGGCCCCAGGGGTCTGGCCTCAATCCTGTCCAACCTGTAGGATCCCAGACCAGGGACAAGACCTGGGGCTGCTGCTTCAAGGTCTGAGCCCCAGGTGTGGGCCAAGAGGGCCCTAACTTCCGGGATGAGGTTGCTGGTGGTAGAAGGGACTGTGAAGCTTCTAGGATGGTCCTTTCATGTAAGTAGGAAGCTGTCCCCTTTCCTTCCCAAGGCAAAAAGGCGTGAGGCTGGCTGTCCAACACTGACTCATGCTGGGGTAGGGAAGCAGGGTGTGGGGAGGGCTGGGAAGGGGGTGGGGAGGGCTGGGAAGGGGGATATGGGGAGGACTGAGAAGGGGGTGTGGGGAGGGCAAGGCAGGTACCTCCCCGATTTGGGGAGCTGGGTGCACTCCCAGGCCTAGACATTGGGTGAGGTGCTAGGATGGGCCCGTGATTAGGGCTGGGAGGGGGTCGGGCCCAGTCACTGGAGCCAGCAGCCTGCGGATGCCTCCCTCCGGATTCTGGCCTTCAGTCTCTTCAGGCCACGGTGGTCGGGGTCCACCAGGAGGCCACTCTCGGCCGCCGTCCAGGCCTCTGGGTGACGCTGCTCTTCCAGGCAGCGCTGCCCGCGAAGGAGGAACAGGCGTGCGGTGGGGGCCCGGCCTGGCTGCTTGCACAGGCTGTTCTGGGCCAAGGTGGGCGCTAGCTTCAGGGCCTGGACAAAGGCCCCTGCGGCGGCTGCCTCGTCCCCCAGGCTCAGCAGCAGACGACCCTGACAGCAGAAGTCTTCTACCCGCCTTGGGAGGTCACTGTCCCCCAGAGTCTCCTGGAGCACATGGTCCAGGTCCCTGAGGGCCCGGCCAAACTCCTGCAGCTCGGCCAGGCAGGTGGCTCGCAGACGCAGGTGACAGGCACTGCTGCCACCGGCCAGGACAGACAGTGAGCAGTAGCCCAGCGCCCGCCTGGGTTGCCCTGCGTCCAGTAGGGTGCCGGCTTCCCAGGCTGCAGCCTGCACAGAGGACACAGAGAGAGGCAAGGAGAGTGGGGTCAGCTTCAAAAGCCCGGCCGCCCCTGCCCTGTAGCATTCTTCTGCAAAGCCAGCCTCTGCTGGCTCCCTGGGTAGGGCAGGGCCTCGGGCTGCACAGGAGCTGCCCGCTGCTTCTGGAGGGGCTGGCTGACCACGGGCAAGGGCAGGAGGGGGGACCCAGGGTAGAGGACCCTTCCCTGTATTTCTCACTGCCCCAGAAGCTGCCAAAGTGCTGTTCTGACCCTTGGAGGTCCAGCGGCAGTCCAAGGCCTGGCATCCTTGCCCACTGCTCTTCTCCCTGGGCCTCGGATCAGGGACCTGGATTTACCTTCTCATGGTTCCCTCCTGGCAGCCCTACCACCCCACCAGCTGGGCCCACGTTCCCTTGCCTGGGTGACCACAGCAGCCACCTCCCTCCGTCCCTCTGGGCCAAGTCACCTCTCCAACAGGCCCTCTGAGGTGGCTGCTGCCCAGCCTTTCCACTCTGCCCACCTTCCGAAGGCTGTCCCAGGTCTCAGGACAGTGGCAGATATGGCCCTTGCCTGGTCTCTGAGCACCCTAGACCCTCCTCCTGGGGCTGCTGGACGGAGGGCACAGCCTCTGCTGTGGGCGGCTGCTGACTAGGCCTGTCTGCGCCCCCACTCCTCCCAGGCACTTTCCTGAACCCACCCAGACCCAATTGCCTCATCTGTGACCCAGTTTCTTCACAGAGTCAACCACGACCAGAAATCCGCTTGCCTCACTGGGCTCCTCCTCTGCTCAAGAACCTGCAAGGGCTCCCCACCGCCTGAGGAACACGCCACGATGCAGGCCCCGCCTTTCTCGCTGGCCCTGCCTCTCTTCCAGCAGCCAGGCGGTCCTCGACGCTCCCTCCCGCGGGGAGCGCAGCGCACTCAGGACCCCGCCGGGCGCGGCTGCAGGGCGTGAAGCCCAGGTCCATGCCCAGGGTCCGTGCTTGGGAGCGAGGGGGTCCCATGGCCCCGGCTTTGCTGCTGGGCTCCCGCGGGGCACAGTGTGGCCTCTTCTGCCAGCTGTGAGCGGTGCCGAGCAAGGCAGGGGCTCGAACCCACGTCCCTGGCCTGCTGTGCGGCCCGCGGGGCCGCCCCTCTCCGGGCCGAGGCACCTGACCCCCCCTCCGCCCCCAACACGTAGCTCACGGCCCGGGATGGTCGCGAAGCCTCGGCCCGCGCAGGCCCCGCACATTTGGGCCAGGTCCATGGCAGCAGGAGGGCGCGGCCCCGAGCAGCTGTCGGACCCCGGGAGCCCCCGGGCCGCCCCCACGGGGAAGGGGGCTCAATCTGACCCTAGATACCCCTGATCCCGCGGCTCGGGCCGCGCAGGCGCAGTGCCACCCAGAGGGGTCCGCCTGCCGGGGCACGGGGCGCAGGAAGCGGGGCGAAACCGCTGTCGGCTCACTTCCGGGTCGGTCCGCGTCTCCAGGCAACCATTTCGCGTCCCGCAGATTCTTGCCTCGGCCAGGAGCCGCCTCCTGGCGCCCCCGCCCAGCCCCAGTCTGCAGCCTCGGAGACCCCTGCCCAGCCCCGCCTCCGGGCTCCGTGACCCCTGCCCAGGAGACCCCATCTAGCCGCCGCCTCTGGGCTCCAGGACCATGGCCCCAGCCAGGCTTCCCGCCCCCTGCCATGCCCTCCTTCCAGCTCGAAGACCCCAGCACAGCCCCCTCCTCCTGGCTCCGAAACCCCCCGTCCCTCTGGGAGCTCTGAGACCCCCAGCCCGGCCGTCTCCTCCAGGTCCCGGTAACCCGATCTCAGCCTTGCTCTTCAGCCCAGAGCGGCGGCGCCCCCTCCGCATCACCGAACTGCCCCTTAAACACTGGTGTAGCCCCGACCCCGCCATGAGATCCCTCTGTTCTTCCTAGCGTGGTTTCTGTTTTCCTAAGTGGCCCCCGAGTGCTAGAACCTGCTGGTGTCAGGAAGCATTAAAGAGGTGAAATCCTGTCCGGGCCCCGCCGGGGTGTAGTTCTGAGTCTCTGGGACCGCAAAGCCTGCTGTGCTCTTGGCCTCCCAGCCTGCCTTGTCCCCAGTGCCTTTTCCCGGCCTGCCTTGTCCCCACGTGCCTTTTCCCAGCCTGCCTTGTCCCCACGTGCCTTTTCCCAGCCTGCCTTGCCCCCACGTGCCTTCTCCAGGCCTGCCTTGGGCTTGGGGTGGGCTTCCTGCCAGGAAAGGTGCCCCTGGCTGGCTCAGTCTGGCCCTGAGGGCAAGGTCCCCTTCCCTCTCTTGCACCCAAGTCACCTGTGGCTTATACATCCCATACAAAGAGGCTGAGAGGTCGGTGGGGTTGTAGGGCCAAGATGGCCAGAGACTGTCTTCCTGGGCCAGAACTGGGTGTCTCCCACCCCACCCCAAATCCAACTGAAAACCCAACCGCAGAGACTGAAGAAGGGCTGCCCGGGTGGACGGCCCAGGGGTCTCATGCCTGTGTGCTGGGGAAGGTTGGCGTGGGAGATCCGTGGGGTTCTTTGCGCACCTGGGCAAGGCTCTGCCGCTCTGAGGCCTCCAGGAGATGCAGCAGGCAGCTGAGATCCGGGGCATCCACCTCAGCCAGGCCCTGCAGGTCCCGTGCAGCCGCTGGCACGTCTCCCTTCTTGAGCCGGAGCAGGCCCAGCCGGGCCCGGGCTGCCTCTGACGTTGGGGCAGGGTGCAGGGCTTTTTCCAGATGGGTGCCAGCCTCCTCATAGCTGCCTGTCAGGGATTCAGGAGGGACAGTCAGTGTGTGGGTGGGGCAGAGGTGCAAGAGAGCTCAGACTTGCTGGCTGCTCCTTCCCTGCCCTATACTGGCTTGCGGGGAGGTGATGATGGCTCAGCCCCAGGAAGAAGGAGCTGGGAGCAGAAGTGCACCGTGATTCCAGGCAGGTCACAGGGACTCACCTCTGACCCCACTTCACGATGCTGAGCCCCCTCACCATGGACACTACAAGGGGCTGCTTTCTCTCCCGAGCAACTAGAGGCAAACTCTGGGCCTGCTGGAGCAGACTAGCACGCGGGGAGCAGCCCTGGGGTCCCTGAAGCCCTTGGTGGGCAAATGCAGACTGCAGAGAGAGCTTGCCTTGGGAATTAGCGGTGAAATGGTTTCCACATCACCAGGGGGATGTGGAAATCTGCAGGAAAGGCCTGCATGTTGGCACATGGGGCTTATGACAGTTCCTCCTGGAACAGGGCCTGGCATCCCATGGGTGCCTGATAAACAACAGCTGGAGGTGCGTGAATCAATGAGGGGGCCGAGAGTCCGAGACCTTTTATGGACCAAGATCATGCCTCAGTTTCTCCTCCATTGCAAGCAAAGAGCCAGCCGGGTAAAGAGAGGAGAGCCTTTGAACACCAGGCCTCACACAGGGGGCAGGGCCAGAGGCCAGGGGATTTGGGGTGGAAGGGACCTTGGAAGCTATTGTGGTCCACGTCTCTTTCTTCCATTTTATAGAAAAGGATACAGAGGTCAGAGGAGCAGGGACAGAAGCCCAGACCCTGTGTTTCCCACCTTGGGGCTGCCACATACCCCGTGCCATGAGAATGTCCACCAGGAGGAGATGCCAGTCCAGTTGCCCTGCATCGATTTTGATCAGCGCCTGCCCCACAGCAAGGAGGCCTTGGGTGTCCTCGTCCTCGAGAGGGGCCCCAGTGTCCAGCAGCTGGCTCAGAAGGGCCCGGCAGCGGGAGTAGAGGCCCTGTGTGATGAGAGCCTGGGCTTCCGGCTTCAGAGAGCGGAGCTCAGGGACCACGGTCCCGGGGCCGAGCTTCAGAGCAGAGAGGATGTCGTCTACGGCTTCCTGCAAGGTGGGAGGGTGGGCGGGTGCAGAGTTGTCCTAGGTGGAGAGACTGGGTGGAGGGTCAGAGTAGGAGGGCTGGCTCTGTCTTTCTCATTCCCTGATCTTCTCCTTGGGGTCCTAGAGGGTCTGAACATCCAGCTTCCTGCCTCTTCCCGCTTTCCTGTGGCTGCAGCCTCTTACCATCCCTCCTGATTCTGGTTAGCATTTGAAAGGATCCAGCTCGCTGACCTTGACCCTGAAAGTTGTCAGGCCCA